TGCGCCGTGCCCCGGCCCCGGCCGCGCCCGCGCGCGCCACACCCAGCCCCGGCCGCGGCGAAGCTGGATAGGTTCTCGTGGATGAGCTGCAGCTCGAGCGGGTGGTGCGACGCCGACGAGACCAATGACGTGACCTTGAGCGTCGTTGCTGGGCGACGCTGCGCGAGCTCCTGCATCAGCGACGCCCACTGCTCGCCCATGCCGATGTCGAAGTCGAGCACGTGGATGCAGCCTGCGCCGAGGAGCCCGTCGGGCGTCTCTCCATTGGGGGAGAGCGCAAGGCGCAAAGCCTCCTTGAAGTAGAAGGCAAAGCGGAGGAGTGGCGTCCCGGCCGCGGGTGGTGGCCCTGGAAAGCAGGCAGCTTCAGCGCCGGCGCGCCTGCCATCGGGTGCTGGCGCTTGGGCGGCGGCGGCGCCAACTCGAAGGACGGGTGCGCGCCAAAGAAGGTCGCGTGTGGCTGGGGGTGGTGCTGTTGCTGGTGGAGCAGGAAGCTGTGCGCGTGGCCGAAAGGGGCCCCCTCGGCGTCCTCCATGGCCGGCGCGAACGGCGACAGGCTGGGCTCGAGAGACGCCGCAGCCGGTGACATCATAGACATGGCGTGGTCGAGCTCCAGAGCGGGCGGATCCATGACGCCGGCCATCCCCGCGGACGCGTCCTCCCCGCTGCTGGCTCCATGGCCGCCGGCCTCCGCCCCCCGCGCACGCGCGGGCGCGGCCTGCGTGCCCGGTCGCCCTGCCGCCTCGCCATCCGCGTACGCGCGCCCGGTCGCCGGAGAGAAAATGAGGAGAGAGAGGGGGTGGGTGGGGGTGGGTGGGTGGGTGGGTATGTGGGCCAATGACACGCGGGCCAGGGTGGGACACGCCCCGGACAAGGACAACGCAGAGAGCGTCCGCTCGTGTCCGTTTCAGACCCAAAACCATCCCAACTTTGATCCCAGGATGAGGCAAAGCGGACAAAATATGGACTTTTTTTAGAATGAGATCGCGCTGGGTCGTCTGATATGTTCGTTTTACCTCAAACGGACATATGCGGATAAAATGGGGTCACGCGGTGGAGTTGGCCTTAGACTGATAGCGTTCAAAAGGACACAACTAGTCGCCTCCGACAGCGGCAGGTTTCGCACATGGGGTGCTCGCATGAGTGGCTGATGCATGGGGCAAGGGCAGCAGGAGGTTGCTGGCTGGCGCAGGCTCACCAGAGCATCCAGTGCTCGCGGTGGCCAAGGCGAAGCAGGGCTGAGCAGCTCGGGCGCGGAGGCAGGGGTCTCAGGAGTCAAGCCGGAGAGGCCATGGTGCGACCCGCACGAGCGATTGAGCGAGGAGGGCAGTCGCTGGAGATGGGGCCCACAAGGGCGCCCCTGGAGGTCAACGCGGGCGCGTCCCCCTCGACAGAGACGAGCATGCCCACTGCACATGGAGGCGCTAGCCATGGTCAGCGGCGTGGAGACTTGAGAGCGAGGGCGGAAGCCGGAGGGACTTGGCGTGGATCACGGCAAGGCGAGGCCGAGGAAGGCGTGGCGCGGCCTGGGCTTCGTCACATGGATGACGACGGGGTCGGGGTGGTCCGGCGATGGAGGCGGGGCAGAGGACGGGCGGAGCAGAGGAGCTCCGGCGAGCTGCGGCAGAAGATGGCCGGGTCCAGCGAGAGCTCCTGCACGGGGAAGCTGGTGGCGCGAGCGGGGCACGCATGCGGCCGAGCTACAACTCCGGTGGCCGACGCAGTCGAGGGAGGAGCGTGGGCATGGGGATCGGGAAGAGGAGTGACTGCGTTGTCGTGCGTGCGTGGCGGCGGGCACGGGAACAAGAGGAGTAAGTGGGGGATCGAGAGGATGGGATCAGGGGAGGGTTAGGTTAAGGAGAGGCTGACTGGGCCTTAGGCCAGGGATGAGTTGGGCTGCACATGGCCTAGATGGCCTGCTGGGTTGTACTCTCTCCTTTCTCTTCTAAATAAAAAAAACAGAGATAATAAGAAAGAAAAGAAAGAGAGGTTAGGGGTGGTGCTTGGGCAGGAGGGTCATTTTTTCATACTCTCGAAAATGGGCTTGATCCCAGAAAATAGAAATGGACATGATTGCAAGAATTAAATTCAAACTCATTTGAATTTAATTCAAATGGTTTGAACTAGGCCAAGGTTTTAGAAGAGTCCAAAAAATGTTGAGAATTTAGGAGGAGCCTCGATAAAAGAGATAAGGAATTGTTGGCAAAGTTTGGGGAGCAAACTTGAAATAGAATAGGCATGAGATTTAAATTGCAAGTGTGTTATGGTGAATTGAAAATTAACGGAATATTTATTATAGCTCCCTAATATTGGGAGGATATGTTATAAAGAGGAATCACCATGTGAATATCCCTCAATTTAAATGGACCGAGGATCCACACGATTTATTTAGTTGAGTTTTAAAAAGGTTTGCATGATGACATGATGCAATGCAAATGATGCAATGATGAATGCAACAAACAAATAAATCACACCACGAAACTCGAAATACATGAAGGCATCTGGAGCGTCGGTCTTGTGTCGTTACAACTCTCCTCCACTTACAAGAGATCTGCCCCGAGATCTAGGGATGACAAACGGAAGAGGAAGAGGAGAGGTAATACTAAGTTGCTTCTTTGACAAACGAGTGAAACCATGAACCTCAAGAGGTTGAACAACCTGAAAGAAATAATACAAAAGATATGAATGAGATTGCAAACAGTCCGTTGGACAAGAGTAACAATGAATACAACGAGAACCAAGAGCTTAAGGGACAAGATAGACTTTGAAACCACTCCGGTTAAAACGAGATGAGAAAGGAAGAATTCGGGCAGCACTTCGGTTGAAAAGAGAGGCAAGACTTGATAAGATGAAAAGAACATGGTCTTGACAAAACAAGATGATGGGTCGAAGAGAGCAACATCACAATGCCTCCGGAAGAAATGGAAGAATGGAATAAAAAGAACGGAGAGAAAACAACATGTTGTACCTCAAATCAATTTGAGACAACATCCTTAAATGAAGGATTGAACGGAGTTGTTGAAGAATCAACAATAAAATGATATACTCCTCGTGGGCTTATGAAAACATCTCAAAACTAGAGGTGAGATTCTGCCACTAACTGAACAATTGCTTGCTTGAGATCGACGAAGAGATGAAAAACTTCTTCCACCAAGATGATAAAGAGATAACTTGGATCATTGATAAGCACCACAAATAGCAACATTCCTTAGGGAAGGCTTTAGGTGAAATGTATACCAAGATAACTCCAACAAAGAAATTATCATGGGTTGAAATAACTCTGACAGAAGAGAAAATGATGGTTTTACAATATCTCATTCCTGACAAGTTGTGAATCATGAAACATGAAGGAAAATTGTCAAGAATGACATAACACCATTTCAAACGATAAGGTAGAAATAATTGCACTTTGGAATGCAAGACGGAGAATACTTGAGCTCCTCCAACAAGAATCTTGACGAACAGCAAGGCGGCGCTGCCGTCCCATGACATCCGGCATGGCATGCCATAGTGCCCAGCAGAAGGTCGTACCCACGCTCGGCGGCCTCGGTACGGCCTGCACCCGGCGGACCCAGCGAGACCCGCACCCTGACGGACCCGGCAGACCCGGCGGCCCCCACTACCGGCTCCTAGACGCTGACACTAGGGCCTTGCGCCCATGTAACTTTACCATTGTACCCCGGAGGGCCAGCCTATAAGACCCTTCGGTGCCCTTCCATGCAGAGGGTCGACCCCCTGGTTAAGCTTAGCCACACACTCATGCACACCCATGGAGAAGGAGCAGCCTATGCACGGGCATGTCTTCCTTCCTCCCCAACACACCTCTAGGAGCAAGCTTACTCCAACTCATATAAACCACACTCGGCAGGACTAGGGGTGTTATCTCTTCGGAGAGCGCCGAACCTGGGTACGTCTTGTGTCTCACACTTGCGCGTATCAACCTCTCCTCTGGAGCCACCGGTGCCCTTGTCGTTGTCCCCTCTTTTAGTCATCCCATGGCATCTGCCATGAGATCACCACGACAGGGTTAAAAAATCAACAAATACAAAAGGTGATAAAAACATGGAAGATGAAAAAAGGGTGAAGGTGGAGGCGATTTTCGGATTCCGGTCTCCGGAGACCCAAGAAGGTTCAAACTCTGGGGCGTGTGCAAAGATCTCAACCCCTCAAGTCTCTGCTCGTCACCCTACGACCTAGCTACGTTGAGCACACGCGAGCGGGGAGGAAGAAGATGAACGTGACAATTTACTAGGTTCGGGCCACCTTGCGGTGTAAAACCCTACTCCTGCTTTGTGGTGGATTGGCCTCATGAGGAGGGTGAGGATGAACTAGTATAGTGGTTCGAGCGGCCTCACGAGGGCTCTGGTGATGAAGGTGGAAGCGATCCTCCTCTATGGTGGTGGCTAACCTATATTATAGTGGCCTCGGTCCTCTTCCCCCAAAACTTAGGCGGGAAGGTATCCCACAGTGGACAATTTGAAAAGGGACAAATAGTACATCTTATCCCGACGAAAGGTGGTCTTCGCCTGCAAAGCTTCTGGTCGTGACGCAACGGTGGGATCGGCCATCACATCCATCCTGCCGAGCCTGTGGTCTTGGTGTTGTTGCACTTGCACCAGAATGGAAACCTTTGGAGGGATCCTCGGGAACCCGCGCTCATCCTTGCTCCCTTAACACCAAAAGGGAAACTACCTCTTCTGCGCCTGCTTACGCCCACCTGGCCACGATCGTCATGGCTCACGTCATCACGGCCTCGTGAGGCCGGGTACCTGCATAGAAATCTCTGCTCCTAAGGAGGCAGCCTGAGGAGGCCGCTCCTCTGGAGGACTTGATGTCGCCCGCCTCACGAGGGTCTTGTCCCTGCGGTGTTATAGCTGATCCTCAGCAGGCCGTTGATGGGCCTGCACGCTGGGCCATAGGCTGGTAGACCTGGGTACCCTCGATCCCAGGACGCCGACGGTAGCCCCCGGTCCCAATGCGCGCTCGGGCTAGCTTCGAGGTGAAGCCAAGGGACAAATGCGAAGTGTCGCGGGCCCGGATTGCCTGTGGGACAAAACTCAATGTGTGGCGCTTGACGGGACATGAACGCCTCTATTCTCCCACGTCGCTTCGGCAACATCCCAAGATGACAAAAGACTGGCGCTCACTCTTGAGTCTTCATTGCTTCCTATTCCCTTGCTCCAGATCCCCTTCTCTCAGCCAGAAACTTTCCAGCTCCAACCGCAAGTTTGCCCATGTCGGATTATGGTTTCTGCAAACCCTTGAGAGGTTCAAACTCTGGGGTGCATGCGAAGATCCCACTCTCCCCAGTCTACCGACTCGCTTGTCTCACAGCCTAGCGTCGAGCTCGAAGGAAACGGGACATGACAGTTTACCCAGGTTCGGGCCACCTTGTAGTTTAAAACCCTACTCCTGCTTTGTGGTGGATTTGCCTCGAGGGGCTGAGGAAGAACTAGTACTGTGGAGAACAACCTCAGGAGGCGTGTTCTTGGGCTTAAGTGAGCTGGTGAGCTGGTGAGGGTGGAATGGATCCCATCCCCCTCCTTGGTAGTGGCTAGGTCCTATTTATAGTGGCCTTGGTCCTCTTCCCAAATGGAGGCTGGAAGGGATCCCACAACGGCCAAATTCGAAGGGAGACAACAA